TATTTTTTGTGTAACGTTCGGAGATCATTATAAAAATTTATAGATATAAATATAAATTCTCTGATAATCCGCCCGGCTGCTTTCACTTTACTAAAATGTTGTCAATGTTAGTTGAAATATAAATATCAATTATTAATAAATTTAATAAAACATTTTTGAGACGCATGATTAGCATCGAACTAAAAGTCATTTAATCAAATTTACAAAATTCAAATGTCAAACGACATGAAAATTTGTTTATTGGAATGTGAGTTTACTATTATAATTTTTATTACTTAAAATGATTAATTACTGAAAAAAATTTTCAGCAAATATTTCTTTCCTGCTTTCATATAATTTTTATTGATTAGAATTTTTAATTACTCCAATTTAGTTTCTTCAAAACTTTAATTAGTGAAATGTTTGTATAATCTAAAATTTATTTCTCCCAATTTTTATTTAACCTAATTATTACGTACCCTAATTTTAAATAATATAATTTGTAATTAAAATCAATTTTTTGGGGCCTAAATGTAAATAAGGTAGGATTTATATAAAGAGAATTACTTTAAAAAAAAACTTTTGTTAAAAATTTCAATTCAATATATACATATATATATATGGAAGTCAGTTGGGGTAAATCGAAACAGTATCCCAGTGTGCAAAGTTACAGAACAGTTCTGTAACTGTTCTATAACAAAAAAAGAACAAGTTCTAGAACTGGTGAGGAACAGGTCAGAAAAATGTCGTCCCCCTGAGGGCACAAAACTGTAACAGGATTTGTAACAATTCTAGAACAATGTTCTAGATCATTGTTTTAGAAAAAATATGTAACAATTAGATAACAAAATAAATTTTTTAAAATTTTAATTCTATAACAATTCTGTAACCGATCTATAACAATATTCTAGAATTACAGAACTTTTTTTTATATATCCAGTTTTAATAAAAGTAAAATTATGATTTCTAATTTGTAGTTTATTTGAGTAAAATTTCCCTGACTTAAAAAAAGTGACCGTGCCCAAATAGCACTGTAAGTCAGCTAAATATCATTAGAATATTTTTTAGAATATTCCTGTGATATACAGTGGAACAAATATAAAATACAGTGATAGAACTATTATGTTACATTTTTGTAACCCTGTTCTAGAACGCTGCAGTAACAACGTTACTTAAAAATTTTAAAACTTATTAAGCACAAATGTTCTAGAACAAATGTTATCTTCCTTATAGAACAGAGATAGAAGAACTGTTGCAGAACAGGTGTAGAACACAGTTCCAGAACTATTCTATAACAAAATTGTAACACTTGCTCTAGAACAAGTTACACTTTTTGTTCTAGAACAGTTGTTTCATAACGTGCACACTGGGTAGTTGTTTCAGTTAAATAAAAAATTTTGTTTCAATTTACCCCAACTGACCCTAAAACAAAAATTACTAAATCACATTATATCTGAATTTCATCTAATCGTACATAATTTTAATTTTAAAAATTTCAAATTATTTTTTATCCTATTTTTTCTTCTAAACGTCATTTATTCTAATGTACAAATTTTCAAAATATAAACTTGTTACAAAATATTGTTATAAAAACATTATTCTTTCTAATCTTTATAAAAAAAATTGTTATACAACAAAATTATTACCTATTATTAAAAATTTCCACATGAAATAATTATTTTTTTAAACGAATTGTAATTTTATAGCTTTTCCTTTAGAAATTTGTAAATTTGATCAATTGATTTTCAGATCGAATTTCGAGACGTGGTAATAATCATGCGTCTCAAATTTTTTGAGTTATAGAGTTTTAAAGTATTAATTTTTTTCGAACAATTTTTTTTTTTTATTTTTAATTTACGTGTGCTTATATGTAAGGAGTGTTGCCTTGTACGGTCAGAGTGTGCGCTCGTGATTAATATTGTAAATAATAAATTAAAAATTTTTTTTATCTAAAGTTATAATTGAAGATTTTATAATATGTAAAAACCCTCATAACTTACATACATATAATATGCAAAAAATAAAATAAATAAAATTAATATTTTATAATTATGTATATATATGTATAGGTACTAAACAAAGATGAACAAAAAAAAAGAATGGTTCTTCTTTAATGAGCAAAATAAAATGAAATATTTTACATACGTATATATGTTATTTGATTGTAATGTATAATTATATGTAAAATTGGAGATAATATAATAATAATGTAACATTTATATAGTCTTGTCGAGTTATAAAATCGTACGAGATATTTATAGGTACTAATATCCACTCGACATACATATAATTATGAAGATAAAAGTATTTTTTTTCTAATAAAAAAAATTATTCTAAATATACCACCAAAAATTACAATAATACAATATTTTAAAATCAAATATTATAGGAAAACAAAAGTTTACTTACTTTTTTTATAGATGTTTTATGATTCTATCTAAATTGGTATTGAAAATTATTTTAATTATTTTCTAAAAATTAATTAACTAAGCATTTTCTAAAAATTCAAACTATGCAAATATTTCTTTAAAAATTAAAAAAAAATGTAACGCGCAATTAAGAAAGGAACCTCGAACCCATGAAAAAATTTTAGGTTATGTTTATTTTAATTTTTCCTTCATTAAAAGTTGCTTTTTTAATTATATAAAATCAAAATTAGTTCTTTGATTTTTTAATCAATTTTTTCATTTTAGATGTAATGAAGACTCAATGATTCGTATTAAAAATTAATCATTTTTATGAATTTTAATTAAAATTTGATAAACATAACCTATAATATATATCACTGCAAAAACGGGTGTCTTATTTTAGGTCATAAGACAATTTAGGAAACGTCTTAAAATACTTGTAGTTTTTCTATACAGTTTCATCAGATTATTATAACATATCAAGTGAAAATTTTTTTTAACTATTACAACATAACCTATAATATCTATTTTTCAATAATTCTATATACATATATATATATAATCTACACCAAAAAAACGTAATTCTAAATTTAAGAATATCTTCTTAGCGCCTATTTAAGAATATTTCTCATGCATTTTATTCTTAAAATTAGAATAAAAATCTCTTAAAACAAGAAAGCCTTCTCCCTCATAACAAAAGGATATCCATATCAATGGTCGATATCCTAGAATGGTCCCCAGGATATCTTGGGACATCCATAGGATATCCCTAGGATATCCAAACCGTCGGTCTGTGGGACATCAACAGGACATCCATAGGATATCCACAGGATATCCCTAAGACATGCACAAAATATCTATTGGATATTATATCGCAGGATATCCATGGGATATCCTCAGGATGTCCGTGGGATATTCTTAGGATATTCACGGGATATTTAATATATCAACATATATTTTTAAAGGTTAAAATTGTTAAGCTAATAAAATGAATAATAATATAATAAAAACAAAAATCTTATGAGCTTCTAATTTATTTTAAATGAAGATTTGAAACGCACTTTTCAAAGTTTTTAAATAAACTCATGCACTTAATGTATAATTAATATTAATAGTTATTCGTTATTTGCGGGGAAGAATTTATATTGTTTAAAGCCAATTTATTTTCTGACAATATTAAGCATATGAATAAAGGAATGAATCACGAATGAGAAAAAAATTAGTTAATAATTTTTCAAATTAAACAACTTTCTCGAAAAACAAGTTGCATTTTATTTTATTTATATAAAATTTAATTCACAGAATATTCTCACTCGTAGTCTCATAATGACTTTAAAAACATTATCCTGAGAATATCTTCTTGACATCCAGAAGATATACTGAGAATATCCTGAAAATATCTGTGGGATAACCTGATGATATCTATGGGATATCCTGATGATATCTATGGGATATCGTGATGATATCCAAACCGCCGATTTTTTGGATATCCTTAAGAGATTCTTTTGATATCCATAGGACATCCCTAGGATATCTGCGGGATATTATCAATATATCCCAAGATATCTTGTGTTATTAGGGCTTAAATTAAGAAATAATTTTTAATTTAAGAATTCCTTCTTGTCTTAAGAGTCATAAAACAAAAAAAATTCTGAAATTTAGAATATAAATTTAACACCCAGTTTAGAATATTTTATACTTGAATTCAGAATGTATTCCCAAAAAAATGTTTCTTTGAATTAAAAAAGTATTTCTTATTAATATTGGGTCAAAGAAAAGTTTTCTTTATAATTTTAAAAAAATTTATTTGATATAAAAAAAATTTTTTTTAATTCAAAGAAATATTTTTTCAATTTCAAACAAAGTTTTATTTAAATTAGACAAATTTTTGTTAAATCAAATAAATTTTCTTTAAATTATACAGAAAACTTTTCTTTGACCCTATATCAAAGAAATATCTATTTGATTCAAAGAAACATTTTTTTGGTTGTACATACTAAAATTATTTGTCCAGAATATCCTAAAAAAAATACTTTACTAAATGTTTTAAAATTGACTCAACTTGTCTTATTGGTTAAGAAAATATTTAAGACGTTCCGTCATTGGTCGAAATCTAAGACACAATCGAGGACACGATAAAATTTCATTAAAGAAACAAAAGTATCTTAAAATAAGACATCCGTTTTTGCAATTATTTTACTTTTCAGGTCACACCCTATCAAAAATTGACTACTGGCGCAGTACTGGCTCGGTACTGGTTATCATTACTGTGCCAGTAGTAAACTCTGTCAATTTCTGGTAGGGTATATATACACTGAAAAAAATATATTCTTGATTTAAGAGAATTCGTTATATTTTAATGAACATTTTCCCCTAGAATATTACGCAAAAGGATTCCTCCTATTTTAAGAGGATTATTCTCTATTTAAGAATATTCCTCTTAAAATAAGAGGAAAATACTCTCCGATCAAGAATAGTAAAAAAAAGGATTTTCGCAAGATGAAATTTCCGCTATTTTCAGGAATATTTTTTTTTTTTCGGTGTATTATATATAATTGTACGGTGAATTTTGTAATAAAATAATATAAATAATTAAAATTCTATTAACAATAATAATTGTTTTTTTTTTTTTTTTGTTTAATTATGTTTCATTTTATATAATTTACACACATTATTAAAGAAAAAAAAAATTTTTTTGCGCTGCGATGGCCATTCAGTACCTCCTGTTGTATGGCTCCTCTTCCTCAGGATGAGCAGCGTTGTACGCCAAGGCTCGTTGAATTGCAATAGGAATTGGAGGCGGTGTTGGCAAATGTGCTCCGCTTGCTTGAAATCCGTTTTCATCGGCAAGGTAAGTTACAACAATTGGTGTACCATCAGGCGCCGTGTAACTATATTGACCTCGTACCACTTCCGCTTGACCTGCGGGGCCTGCATTTTTAGGTTGACCTTGCTCAGCTACCGATATTCCATTTTCCGTGTCGTAACTGAAAATATTTTGTTTTTTTTTATTTTCTTGTAGGGTAAGTGTATGAATTACTGCTGATGCGCCAATTACTGCGATTTTTATAAAATTAGTAAAACTTTGTACTAATTGAGAACATAAAACTGTTTCAAAATGACTTTAAAACTTATTCCAAATGCTATTTGATATTATATCCACTACCCTCACAACAAAAGGATATCCGGAGGATATACTCAGGATATCCTAAACTAATGTAGGATATCCTCAAAACGTCCATAGGATATCCTAGGATATCCTCAGAACATCTAAACCGCCGTTACGTAGGATATTTTTGGGATATCCTGGGGATATACTGAGGATATCCCTAATTATTCCAGGGATATCCTTGGGATATCCTTAGGACTTCCTGAGGATATCCTAATAATATCCGGGAAATGATTAGGATATCCCTGGGACGTCCTAGGGACATTCTTAGATATCCTTGGGATATCCCTAGGATATCCTAACCGCCGCTACTTTGGATATCCTTAAAGTATCCTTAGGATATCCCTGGGGTAACCCTAGGATATCCAAGGGATGTTTTTGGAATGTCCTAGGATTTCTGGTGCTGTGAGGGTAATGATGCATATTTCGACTATTATCAAATTATTTATTCAAGTTACAATTGAATCTATCACAGTAATTAGAGCATGCGTATATTTTTCGCATTCTGCTATTACTGTGGTCTATCCAGTCAACCTAACCTCTAAATCAACACTTTTAGCGTTGCAGTAATTGGTGCACATCATTCGCAGTAATTCATGCAAACTTGCAGTAATACCAGCATATGCCATTTTTAAAAAAGTTAATATTTTTAATAATATATTTGTTATTTCTTCAAGTTTAAAGTATCGTTTCTATTTTAATAGACATACTACTTAATAGTGATTTAAGAAAAAGAATTAAATCATTATTTCATTTATACTTTTATTATTTTATCATTAAAGTCGGTCTTGGGTTGTACATCACAGTAATTGGGACATTTACCCTAGTCTGTTTAATTCATACCGTCAATCATTAGAGTGCGATGTCTGATTGATCATAGTCAATCATCATGTAATTCGACAATGAATTTTCCGTAAAACTAAATTTGAATTTTACTAATGAGATTTTCATTTTTAAGAATTTTAATTGTAATATTATAATTATTTATTATAATTGTAATATTTTAATTAATAATAAAATTATTTTTTAAGATGAATTTTCATTTTTCAAATAAGCATTTAACAGAATTTCTTTTTAAACGAAATTTTACTTAACAGATTTTTTTAAGTACCGAATTTTTTTTTCTATAGAACTTATATCTTATCCAACTTTTTGTTTTTTTAAAATATTTCTTTGACACTATATAACAAAAAAAAAAAATTTTTTTTGCGTGTTAGAATTATTATTATTTATTATTAGTATTCATTATTATTTCATATATTATCAAAAGGCCTAATTTTCATTCGACCGTAACTATAAATAGTCGATGAACGCAACAATTGACAGAAAGATTTCGGCGCGAATTTTAAAATTAACCAATCAGAAATTTTTTTTTTCAAAAAATTTGTGATGGGTTAATTTTTAAATTGTCCATTTGCAATTTTGGACAAATAAAGATTAGTTGAATTGGAAATTTTTACATTTAAAAACTCGAATCACTTAAAATTTTTTTTTAATGTGAATTGAACCTCCCAATTCTGTAACTGGTTAAGCGCTCGGCCGGACGCTCTATTGGTAGTCGGATAGCAGCGAGGGAGCCATTGACACTCGCTGCTACCCGACTACTAATAAAGCGTCCGTCCGAGTGCTAAACGAGTTATAGAATTGGGAGGTTCAATTGTGCTTATTAGATTATTAGATAAACTCTAAGTCAACGTGGCTGTTCTATTAGAGTACATGGCTTTTGTCCCAAGGGTCGTGGGTTCGATTCCCCATGCGTGCGGGATTTTTCAAAATTATTCTCAAGTGTTTATATACTGTCCACGTAATTATCTTAAATATAAGTTAGAAATAAAAATTGTAAAAACTCATTCACTTCATTGGCCAGAGACTGTCCATTAAGACCATATTTCAGTTTCTGCTCAAATCTACAAAATGTAGGTTAAATGAAGGTTCAAAGTAGAGTTAATTTAATAAACTTTAAAATTAACATCAATGTATGTTCACAGCAGGTTCTACGTAAATTAAATTTTAAAGTAGGTCGAATGTAGGTTTAAAGTAGAGTCAATATGTGTCCAATGAAGATTCACATTAGGTCAATGTTGGTTCATAGTAGGTTTAATGTAGGCTCAGTTTTAAATTAGGTCAATGTTGGTTCATAGTAGGTTAAATGTAGGTTCAGCTTTAAATTAGGTCAATGTTGGTTCATAGTAGGTTAAATGTAGGTTCAGCTTTAAATTAGGTCAATGTTGGTTCATAGTAGGTTAAATGTAGGTTCAGCTTTAAATTAGGTCAATGTTGGTTCATAGTAGGTTAAATGTAGGTTCAGCTTTAAATTAGGTCAATGTTGATTCATAGTAGGTTAAATGTAGGTTCAGCTTTAAATTAGGTCAATGTTGATTCATAGTAGGTTAAATGTAGGTTCACTTTTAAACTAGGTCAAATGTAGATTCAATATAGGTTGTAACTGGGGTCAAATAGTTTTATAGTAGGTTCAAAAAAAATTCAAAGTTGATCTAATTTAAGTTCAATGTAGGTTTAATTTAGTTTTAAATTAGATCAAATGCAGGTTCAATATAAGCCATATATTTTTATGATTTTTTTTTGGACTCAAAAAAATATTCCAAAAAAAAAACTAGTGAATGCAATATAAAAAAAAACACACGTTACGTTCGGATGCACTCAGCAGAGTGCAATGCTTTTTATGTTACATGAAAACATACAATGTCAGGCATATCTGTTTGTGCTTGACTGCATAAACATGTATTTTTTATGGATATATACTGCATCTCTGTGTCTATTTGGAGTTTATGAAGTAAGAAAAATTATCATGCACAACCAACCACTAAATTGGACAGTTATCAGGATAAAGTTATAAAGGTAATAAAAGTCTTCTTTTAAAAGTCAAATGAGATTACACACAGGATGTGTTAAAAGCAGATCTTAATTATTTTTTAACTATGTAATAGATTTTTTCAATTTTTTTCACAATTAAATTTTTGTTTTTTTTCACATTGTAAAATTTATTGGAAAAATTAAAACATTTAGGAAAAAAAAGTTATTTTAATTATTTTTACTTTTATTTTTTTTATGAAACTATTGATACCTAAAATATAATAATATAGTTTAATAAATTAAAGCTAATTTTAAACTAATTTTACAAATCATTTTAAGAATATTTTTATAAGTGAAAATTAATTATTCTATTTTCTTTTATAAATGATCTTATAACTTGAAGTATTGAAGATTTCGTGACATATGAAGTAGGAATCATTTTAACAATTAAGGATCATTCACGAAAAAAAGAAATATATCACAAAAGGATCTAAACATTTAAATCGAAATAATAAAATGTAATTTTTATGATGAGGGAAATGGGCGCTCCTACTGACAATAAAACTTTTAAGTAGGTTAGTTAATTACAATTATATCCGATTGCATAATTATGTATAGGGAACTACGCAGACGTATGTATGTATATAATACCAATGATTAACATCAAAGTTAATTATGTTTTTCTCAGTCAACTGTTAGTTTCAATGTACAAAACTCATACATTAATATATTTTAATTGTTTAATTCCAAAAAAAAATAAAATCTAAAGGTTTCGTTATTTTATCCATAAGACAAATTTTGAAAATTTTCATCCTTTTTTCTTATAAAATAAAATAAGCCTCACCTCCCTTCCCTATACTTTATTAATTTTTAAGTTTTGTGACGCTTCTGACTAATTCTGATTAAATTAAAAATTATAAATAGATAAATAATAATTATTCTTTTAAATCTAAATGATTATTGAAACCACAATGAATCACAAAATAATTATGCAATTAAAATAAAAATTGTATTCGCTGCGGATACGGAAACACGGTGGCGCCTCTAGTGGCAATGTGGCGCATTTTTCATTGGATACTTGTCAAATGTTTACATTAGAAAAAAGTGACATTTAATTATTTCTGACGTTTAAATCTATTTGTGATATACTACGGCGACCAAATTTATAAACTATTAAGATGTACATGAAACATAAGTAACTTTTCAATTTGAGTCAAGCTGGAAAAAATATATTTTAGGTTGCATTTTTTATGGAGGGTGGTGAAAATGGCTATTAACATAAACAAAAAATTATTTAAAATTAATTTAAAGTAATTTTGAAAGATCTAGTTATATGCATTTTTTGGAAAAAATTATTTTCAATTAAAATCTTTTATTAGATAATTATTTCTTTACAAAGAACTTTTTTCTGAACAGAAAAAATTGCAGTGTTTATCAAACTTTAAAACCAAAAGTTTTTGTTATTTAGTGAAACAATTCTCTTCAATCGTGATTTTTTTAAAGTGTTAAAAATATGTTGTAAAAAATTAATTATGAAATAAAATTTGAATTGTTTACAATTTTTTAACAATTAAAAAAAATATTTCGATAAATTATTTTGGTTCATATGTGTAAATGGAATTTGAAAAATCAATATATATATCTTTTAAAATAAAAAACTACCATTAAGTTAACTGAATAAGAAGGAGAATTGACAGACGTTTGACGAATCACACTTGCTTTAATTGCTTCCCTGATTCCATTAACTCTAAATTCTTCCACCCTGACAACGTGAATCATCGCTAAAGCCTTCCCTTTTTTAATTGTTTCTGGGCGAAATTCAATTTCATGGTTTATTGCAGCAAACCCCGTTTTTATTATAACATTCATATTATTTACATTGATTGCTATTCATCTGCCATTATCGTTGTCCAACGAAAATTGCCTAATTTCGCCATAATAGATATTAAACAGCAGACGACAGTTAACTGGTCAGTCACCAGAGTTCGGAATGTAAATTACTAT